CAAGGCAATGACAATCCAACTAATTGTAGAAAATTAACATATTTTCAGAATTTTCCATAACTGACAATTACTTAAAGATATACGCTGCCCATTTTCGCCCAAAATATGTCCAAATTAAAACCCCGAATTAAAACCTTTCCACTTCAATTACAAATTACTAACTAAATTTAAGTCAAATGAGTCCAGCCGTTTCTTTAAAGTATTTTTTGCAAGATTTTCGCGGATTTTTCTCAAAATTTAGTTTAATAAAAACCTTTTCACTGTAATTACCGACAACTGAAAGAAATTTTGAGTCAAATCAGTCCAGCCGTTCTCAATTGATGCGTTAGTATACATTTTTCTTGCTCCATTTTTATATATATATATATATATATATATAGAAGATTAATATATATATATATAGAAGATTAAATAATCAATGGAATTCAGGATAAATATGTCTTGTTTAGACAATCAGCCGTGGATGCACATGAAATATTTTAGCCATATGTTGTCAGCGAAGTTCACTACAAGGTAGTGACAATTATTAGAAACAAAATTCGAAGAAAAGCCCGAGCTTTATTAGTATTACATAACACAGACATAAGCTTTAGCCCTTGTTCTAGATGCTCAATCCAAAATCAAAAGAAGAAAGTTTGCAGCTTTTTACGCCAAACTTATTGCAGAAAAAGGAACCCGAAAAAAACCGAATGCATGAAGGACAGAGAAAAAATTTCAAAACAAAATTTAAAAAAAAAAACAAACATAAAAACGTTGAATTTGAGTGATTACAAAATCACATGCTGCGAACCGTTAAAGTTCATTTTAGGAAATTGAATAAACCTCCATTCCCGATGACAAGCATTCCAATGATTCTTGCTAATTTAGGGAAGGCAACATATTTTACAGTTTCAAATTTAATATCCGTAATGTTTAATGATAAACAACGTACAACGTACGTAGTGCATTTGAATATTTGAGAAATATATTGGCATTTCAATATGTCATCCTTATGTATTCGGACTTCAAACAACCCTTTGACTTAACCACAGATGCATCCGCCAGTGTAATGAGCGGTTTTAACTCAAGAAGGTACACCAATCAGAATGATATCCAGAACACTAAAAGGCAAAGAGTTTTAATTTGCATCCAATGAAAGGGAATTGTTGGCTATTGTCTGGACTCTTAGTACTTTATTACCGTATTGCTATGGCACTAGAGAGTCTAATAATTTCACTGGCCATCAGCATTTGATCTTTGCGGCCAAATTCTTGAAGAAGCTAAATATCCACTAAAACGTAATTTCATAACGTTTTGTACCATAACTCGACATATAATTCATTTCACAGAAACATGTAATCTTCTTGAGATCATTTATTACATTATACACATACTTAAAAATTAATATGAACTAGACATAGTTAATACTCCCTCTGTTCAAACTCTTCAAATGGCCAGGTGAACGTTTCCACAGTACATTAACAGAAATTGCAAAATGCCTAGTGGCATATAATAGAAGAATACCTTCTGTCACTGTTGTAAAACCATTTGATGTAATATATAAATTATCTAGCATACTTCGAAATGAAGTAAAAAAATTAGAAGGGCTAAGAAACACAATTAGCCAGATGTAACTCTTATCAGTAGAACAGGGTGTTTGAAGCTGGCGGAAAAGTTTATATCAAAAACAACAGAAGGTTATGCAACAAAATTTCTCCTAACGTTCCCGTTCTTTTTAAAGGGAGGGTGGTTCATAAAGATAACTTGAAATAGTTTCTTAGCTTGTATAGGTACTATAGCAAATGGTCGCGTCACAGTTAGTCTCATTTGAGAAATTAGTAATGGCAACCCTTTTTAAATTGGAACTCCACAATCAATTTAAAATTGTTTGAAAAATAAATTCCATAATGCCATGTTCTGACGTGAATTCGAACAACGTAGTTCGCTCTCAGAATTACGTACATGAATTAACCTGTTCATACAACACTATTCTTAATTCATGTCATCCGAGTTTTTTATTTCAAACTTTTTGCTTCGTGTTTCACTCCAAAATTTTAACATATTTGCATGAATCACATATGGATCTAAATAGAAAAATTCATTCTCTTTCTCCTGACTATAGCATGAACCCACATTTATTTACTTTTAATTCATGTTTTCCATTTTTTTTTTTTTTTTGAAAATGTTGTTTTATATATATTTTCATATTTTCTCAATTCAAATGTGACATATAAAAAAACGGAGAATTTTTGTTTGGGTTTCCCCAAATTTGTTTCTCGTTTTGTACGCTAATTAGAACGAAGGGGAATAAAATTCATATTGCATTACGTAGATAACAAAATTTACATCCTGCTGCATATATAAAAACAAGTCAATTTTTTACTTTTCATTCATCATTTTCCATTTTACTAAAAAAGTTTGAAAATTTTATAAATATTTTCAAACTGTCAAAATTAAATTATTTTCGATAAATGCTCTCAGTTGTTAGAGGTGGGACACATTTCTTGGTTATTCAGAGAGTGATTCGAATTGAACAACGTACAAATGTCAGTGTGCGTTCAGTCAATTTTGTATGGGGAACTTAGTAATTATTTCATAATTTAGGGTCGAACAACGAATGAGAGAGCGAACAACGCTCGTCTGTACATGGCATAAAATTGTATGGATGTTGATTGTTATATTTTTTAAAGAATTAAAAATGTATATTTTCTGTAGATGTTAAGATGGACGATTCTATTCATAATTGCATAATGATACGCACTTGCGGTCAATAAAATGCAATGTAATAAATATCTGAATATTTTGATCCACATTGTTCTTCTATATCTACAGATTCTACAATTTATAGATTATAGAGCCTGGGAACAAACATTTTGTAATTATTGCAACTTGTTGTCCGTTCATTTCGATTATATTAGAATTATATACCTGCATGAGACTACGTTGTGTAATTATGTCATGCATTCCCGTGTTAGATGGTAATGTTTTAGCATGAGAAGAATACACATATATTAGACACTTAAGTAACTTGACAGAGTTCGTAAAAGTGATAGACGATACAGACAAACTGTCCGAATTATTCCCTCAATCGGATATGAGTAAATGGCTCAATGTTGACATAGAGCATGCTCGAAATTTATTATCTGCACCAAAAGTTTAGATTTCTCAGGTACGTGCAGGAACTCCAGACTCTTTGAAAGGCTCAAGATGACTGATTCACAGCTTATAGAATCAAATAATAGACAGGTTTTGATTACAGAGACTCGAAAACAAATAAATTTACTAACAGTTACCGTAAATAAAATCATTAAAAAAACAGGAACAACACTCCAGACACTTCTCAATTGTATGAAGTGCTTTTGGAAAGAAACTGATTTAAAGTCAGTTGAGAATCTAACAGAAATTTCTGTAGATAACTTGTTGGAAATTTCTAATATAAAATGTCTCTTGGAGCCAAATACCTTGGTCGACGAAGGTGTGATCATAACCAATGAGCAGATTGCAAAATTCAGAACAGATAATAGACAAGCAATCATAATAAGAGGGACCTTGTTACCTTCGAGAACATAGCTGCCATAAATGAAACCAGATATAAGAACCACATGGGAATTTTATTGAAAATGCCGGGAATAGCTTCTTCGTCCATATTGGATATCATAGACCATAAAGAAGTGTTCAGTTTGCCAATGGTGCACATAGTAAGTGAACAAAATTTTAAAAAGTTAAAGACCTAAGATATGACATAACATCGGGTTGTTTACCAATGATGTGGTATTCAATCCCAATGACCGCCAGTCTATCGTTAATGGCTTCATCATCCTTTATCAATTATTAAAACAGACGTTCTTCTCGAGAGATGCAGCGAGCTGTGGAACGTTATTATCAGACTGCCCTGATAGTAATACTTTAATGTTAAGCTAAGGCCAACGACCCACACGTGATTCAGAAAACTAGCGGCGAAGCTCGGAAAATTGTTTGGCAATTTCCTCTGACTCAAAAAGGTTTCGCTCTTGCATGGAAAGCTCTTCACGATGAATTCGACAATAATCGGATTTTCGTAAATCGACAGTTATCGTCATTGTTTAGTCCTCCATTTCTCGATAAAGAATCGATATCTGGTTTAAAACATATTCGACACGGTATTAATATTTGCATATCGCCAATGTTGACATACAACGTTCCAACGGATCAATGGGATCCTATCTTTGTATTCGTTTGTCAACAACGTTTGCCGAAACTTATTCTGGAATTATGGGAAGAAAGTGAAAAACAAATCTGCTCTATCTACGTGGAAATACTTAGACAGTAAACACGCTCGTGTGTTTGGAAAGTTACGGGAAAACATCCACTCCTTTGAAAGGATCTAATTCGAAAATTACAGCTTGTAAACCCGTGAGGAAACATTTGCCTCACGCTTCAATTCGAAAATCTTGTTCTCTATGTAGTGAGAACGCTCACCGCCTTCATTTGTGTCGAAAATTTAATAAATACTCTTCCGCTAATAGATTTGCATTAGTGAAGCGACAAAATCGTTGTCTAAATTGTCTATGGGACACAAACTAGTAAATTGTACTTGTGAAACAAGTTGTTCAAAATGTGGTCAACGTCATAACACGTTGTTACATCGCGAGTCAACACAACCGAATAATTCGATTACGGTTGTGACTCCAGCGGCTTCGTCAAAATCATTGTCAGCTTCAGACCCTGTTTTTCGTCCTCCACATCAGCTGGATTCGAAAATAATACTTCAAGTTATCTTATTCGAAGCATAACTATAGACTAAATTTTATCAAAATATCAAGAAAGAATTTGATCAAAAAATAATGTTGCAAAGCGACCTTCGGAAAATCTCGCGACAAGTGCTGATGCGTCCTATTTGGCCCAGCCCTCGAATATTATTTCGGGAAAATAATAGCTCGATTGAAGTCCGAATCTATAACTGCAGATTCATTTGAGGCTTCATACTATTTTGTTTCGTGGATTTCAACTAACTTGATTGAAGCCCGAATCTATTACTGCAGGTTCATCTGCGGCTTCATATGAACTATGTCGTGATATTACAAATTATCGTTGTAGCGGAGTTGGATCCCGAGTCTGTTACTGCAGATTCATCTGCGTTTCCACTCCCTACATTTTGCTCGAATTGTTCACACTGCACTATACACATATGGTACCTATTACTTACTAATATATACTCCTGTTGTACATATTCTATACTCACTTGCATCGCTTTGAAACAAACCTTGATGTTTCAAGGGGGTCGGAATGTTTAAGTTAGATTTGTATAAAAATCCAAATTATCGTTGTAGCGGAGTTGGATCCCGAATCAGTTACTGCAGATTCATCTGCGTTTCCACTCCATACTTTTTGCTCGAATTGTTCACACTGCACTATACACATAAGGTACCTATTACTTACAAATATATACTCTTGTTGTACATATTCTATACTCACTTCTATCGCTTTGAAACAAACCTTGATGTTTCAAGGGTGTCGGAATGTTTAAGTTAGATTTGTATAACAATACTAATTTAATTAAAAAACGTTTTTTACCGAACAAGATTTTTCAATAATATTGGGAGAAAAAGTGTTTTTTAAGAAGAAAAATGTAGGAGTAGAACTGGGAAACTGCTACTAATATAATATAATGTCAGAGTATCCATCTATGATTCATACTTTTAGACACATTTTAGCAAAATATATTAAAAATTTGGTGATTGTTACAAAATCAACATATTTATTACCTGTTTATTCATGAAAACAAGTGTACAAATTTCGCTGATATTCGAAAAAAAATAATTTTATGATTTTGGAATAAATATTACAAAACATACAGGTGCCATATGAAATATTGATTCCCAGAATATACTTTCATATATCCAATATTTGAATATTCTTCCTTTTTATTCCTTTTTAGGTATTCTGATTTATATGTAAACTACATTGAACAAAGCGTAACGTGGCACCAAAATGTGTGAATAAACTATTTCTACGAACAAGTGTAAATCCAAAGAAGAAGGCAAGAAAAACAATAAAACAAACTATTCTTATTAATAATCTTTTATTTTTAGATTCCGCACCTGACAATATCAAGAACCTTTAGTTTTGATTGCTAAATTAAATGAAAATTAAAACTATGGAAAGAAACTGTAAATATAACGATTTACTATCTCAATTACCAGACCGAACATATCAAGGAAAAAACAAAATGTTTCTCATTTTATTGAGACCAAAGGCACTCCTGTTACTGCAAATCATCGTTGACTTTCTGCAATTAATTTAACCACAGCGAAAAAACAATTTCAGTATATGCTGGATCAAGGAATTTGCCCCTCCCCCGACTACTTGAACGCACAAACCATCCCAGACAAATATCCCCTCCCTCATCTGTACGATTTCGCCCATGGCCTACAAGGAAAGAAATTGTTTTCTACGGTTGATCTGGTGCATGCTTACAATCATGCACCAGATCACGATGTCCCGAAGACCGCAATCACAACACCATTTGGACTCTTCAAGTTTGAGTATATGACATTTGGGACAAAGTTTTCAAAGATTCGTGCACGAAATGTTACGCGATCTGGATTTTTATTTCCCATACCTCGATGACATTTTGATGGCATCCGAAAACGAAGAATAGAATTCGGTCTAGTAATAACCGGAAAAAGTTGAAGCAATAGCCAACTATCCTCAACGTAAAACGATAAAAGAACTTTGTCGATTCGTTGCTATGGTAAATTTTTATCGAAGATTTATACCTGGAGCTGCGACCATCCAACTTCCACTAACAGCGTGTCATAACGGAAACACGATTGAAGAAAACAAGTTTTGAAAAATTTAAGTCCGATTTAACCAATGCTGCTATTTTATCACATCCGTATGAAGGCTTGCCGATTTGCGTTATGGTCGATGTGGCCGTTGGTGGAGTCTTGGATACCTTTAAGTTTTTACTCATAGAATCTTTCATATGCGCAGAAGAAATACAGTATGTATGATCTGGAACTGCTTGCTGCCCATTTTGTTGTCAAACATTACCGCCATATACTCGCAACTGAACTGCAGTCACGTTTTGTTCGTCATGATGCAGTGAGAAAATCTTTGCAACCTCCCTACGATGGACCATATAGAGTACTGCGCAGGTCTGATAAGCAATTCACTTTGGACGCAAACGTCTACTTATTCGGATACACTTATCCCACGAAGAAGTGTAATGTTACGTTTCAGTAAAGATGCTGTTGTGCACAGAATCTCTAAGGGGAGTATATGTAGGAGTACACTTTAGCTAAAAATGTACTTTTACTGTTCACAAGACTATTACAACATACTTTGTCTTTTGTCAAACTCTGTTCGTCGGTTGTGTTTTAATACAACCTCCTCCTATATATATATATAGGAGCTATATCAAAATCTGAGCTGATTTTCTCGAAACTTTACACACATCATTCTAGACTTAATTCAGTACGCCATGCCAAATTTCATGCAAATAGAAAGATATGTAGGTGCATTGGTGCACAAATTATATTAAATCGAACGAAAATATATATGAACCGATTATTTCCAATTTCAATATGGTTCGTGGAATAGAAAAACCAGCTACAGAATCTACTTCAACAGCCAGTTTGTTATTAAGTTTTACTACTCATTTAAAAATACAATAATATTAGATTTTATTTGTTCTACGCTCAAGCAAAAATCTACATTAGAGTATACGGAGTTAAAGTCAATACACATTTTACTAAGAGGATCTCCCATAGAGTAATTCTTGCGGTGGAAGTCTACATATAACAGTTGATAATGTCTACTAGATCGGACAGGAACATTTATTCTAATAGAAGAAATTAGGAAATCCGAAGGTATATTACCATTTAATATTTTTAGTACCATAATAGTATTCAACATAATACGTATACTTTTCAATGTAGGAAAACGAATTAATTTTAACCTGCTAATATAAGATGGCAACACAAAACTACTATTCCATTGTAATGCATATTGGGGATCCCATACAACAGAACCATATTCTAAAATAGGTCTAACAAGAGACGTAAATAGTTGTTTCGTTATATATGGATCCGAAAATTCTTTTGTCCACCGTTTTATAAATCCTAAGACACCATAGGCTTTATTTACCATAGATATAACATGATAGTTAAAATTTAATTTTGGATCCATTAGAATACTAAGATCAACGAAAGAATCTACAGTTGATAAAACCGAACCATTAATATAGTAATGTCTTATCGAAGAAGAATTTCTAGAAAATACATATGTTTACATTTATTTAAATTCAAGTCCATACAATTTAGGCTGCACCATTGAAATAGGCTATTTAAATCATGCTGGAGTAAACCAGCTTGCTTTTCAGAATGATGGGTAATGAACAACTTGACATCATCTGCATACATTAGCAATTTGGAATGCGATACAGAATTAAGCAAATCATTTACAAACAGTAGAAACAGAATCGGGCCTAGGTGACTTCCTTGCGGAACACATAATGGAACATTAATCGATTTTGAATGACATCCCTTAAACAAAACTAGCTGTGTTCAATTTTGTAAGTAAGATGAAATCCAATTTACCAAATTTTTACTAAATCCAATATGATTTAATTTATAAAGTAGAAGTTCATGGTTAACCTTATCAAAAGCTTTACTAAAGTCTGTATAAATTGTATCAGTTTGTTGACGCTGAACAAATCCCTTTATCACAGTAGAAGTAAAATGTACAAGATTGGTAATAGTTGAAAGACCACTACGAAAACCATGTTGATATGGACTTAACAAGGGTTGAATTGTTTGTGAAATAACGGTAGTAATTAGCTTTTCGAACAATTTTGAAATAGCACTTAATTTTGCAATTCCTCTATAATTCGAGACATTTGTTAGACTACCAGACTTCTGTAAGGGTATTATATAAGACTTCTTCCAACAAGTAGGAACATAACCATATTAAGGGAATAATTAAATAATAACGTTAGAGGTAATGCTAATGTATCTGAACAATTCCTTAGAATTAAAACTATGGAAAGAAACTGTAAATGTAACGATTTACTATCTCAATTCCCAGACATTACGAACATATCAAGGAAAAAACAAAATGTTTTTCATGGTGTATACCATTTTATTGAGACCAAAGGCACTCCTGTTACTGCAAATCATCGTTGACTTTCTGCAATTAATTTAACCACAGCGAAAAAACAATTTCAGTATATGCTGGATCAAGGAATTTGCCCCTCCCCCGACTACTTGAACGCACAAACCATCCCAGACAAATATCCCCTCCCTCATCTGTACGATTTCGCCCATGGCACTTTAGCTAAAAATGTACTTTTACTGTTCACAAGACTATTACAACATACTTTGTCTTTTGTCAAATTCTGTTCGTCGGTTGTGTTTTAATACAACCTCCTCCTATATATATATATATAGGAGCTATATCAAAATTTGAGCTGATTTTCTCGAAACTTTACACACATCATTCTAGACTTAATTCAGTACGCCATGCCAAATTTCATGCAAATAGAAAGATATGTAGGTGCATTGGTGCACAAATTATATTAAATCGAACGAAAATATATATGAACCGATTATTTCCAATTTCAATATGGTTCGTGGAATAGAAAAACCAGCTACAGAATCTACTTCAACAGCCAGTTTGCTATTAAGTTTTACTACTCATTTAAAAATACAATAATATTAGATTTTATTTCTTCTACGCTCAAGCAAAAATCTACATTAGAGTATACGGAGTTAAAGTCAATACACATTTTACTAAGAGGATCTCCCATAGAGTAATTCGTGCGGTGGAAGTCTACATATAACAGTTGATAGTTTCTACTAGATCGTACAGGAACATTTATTCTAATAGAAGAAATTAGGAAATCCGAAGGTATATTACCATATAATATTTTTAGTACCATAATAGTATTCAACATAATACGTATGCTTTTCAATGTAGGAAACGAATTAATTTTAACCTGCTAATATAAGATGGCAACACAAAACTACTATTCCATTGTAATGCATATTGGGGATCCCATACAACAGAACCATATTCTAAAATAGGTCTAACAAGAGACGTAAATAGTTGTTTCGTTATGTATGGATCCGAAAATTCTTTGGCCCACCGTTTTATAAATCCT